CCATATAAAAGGCTGTAACAAGCAATATAATGTCCTGTAATAAAAGTGATTTACCAATACTGAAATTAGACTTTATCTCCACGCTCATCCCTCTCTTCTCTGAGGCTATTTTATATCGCTCTATGCTTTATGCGGTATGCACATAAACAGGAATAATGCAAACTGATATCAAGCAAAAGGGTTCACTGGATCTCAATAACCTGTAATTCTGTTAAATGTTGCGTACAGATAGACGCAAGCACACCCAGTCACCTTTGACCCCGCAACAGATATAGTGCAGATTTATATGTTGCAATGTGTTGTGGGCAATAGAGACCACCATGGTGATAACATGACTGTTGTGTGGTCACCAGGCCATGGCCCTCCTTGTCACAACATATTATCTTCACTTAACATGCCTCCCTCCGTACCGATCAAAACACTCTCTCTGAACAGTCGTCAAATTTCAAATATCTCTCTTGGTTTGCCCGTGTAATGTCTGAGTTCTCCTCTATAAGCAGATTTTTTACACAGTCAAAAGGTTCAGTTCATGGCAAGCAACTACTTCTCGTCACAATAAGTTGTTTTTAAATGGATCCCTGCCTATTGTTTAAAAATCAGAATCAGAAACAGGTTTATTGCCAGATAGGTTCACACGTATGAGGAATTTGACTTGATGTCATGGTGCATACATCAAATATAAAATAAAAATCTAAAAAAAGTACACAGATAGCAATCAAAGAGAATCTGTTGAGAGCAACAGAGCATTTACAGATGGACAAACCTAAATACTGAACAGCCCCCCCCCCCCCAAATAACTGCTTTAAGGGCAAAAGAAGACTAATTATATAAGGAAGAACGTGATCAAACATGCAGAGCAAGTCATTCAAAATGTATTGCACAGAAATTATTCAATGACAATTTCTTTCAACTATAAGATCAGAAGTTGTGTCCACAGTGTGTTAGTGGTGCACTAGTGGATTTGCAAAGATTCAGTGTTTGAACCAAGCATAAACCTCTGGGTCTTCAAAGTGAACCCTATGCGGATTTTTCTGAAACTAGCATTGTCACTAATCGCCATTAGAGTGAGACTCAACTCGTTGCAAAAAAGGTCAGATTCTATAGAAGTCTATGATAACATTACCCTTAATCTCAATGGATTTATTAATTTAGTAAACATTTTCCTGACAGGATTATTGCTTGTGTTCTTATCTTGGAACTAAACCTTTTACAGTGTGTTTTTAGTTTTTCACAGTTAATTGTGGCAACGGCCAAAAACCAAGATGGTGACTGCAATAACACCAAACTCAAGATTTCACAAAATGTGTACAAGCCAATAGGTGACGTCAATCTAATTCTTATATACAATATATGGGTTGGACATTAGTTCAAGGCCATTGTTCTACCTTTTGGATTTTTTTCATTATTTTAATGGTAAATGTGCATCTACTATGGTTCATGGTTATGGGGTCAACACAAAGTGCAGCAATGACCTCTGTGCATACCTATGATGGGCTACCGTGCAATGAAATAGGGCTGAATGTAAACTCATCGACATGTCACAGCCCTTCAGCTCATAGGGTGACAGTCACCTTCACGCTGCATCGAGCAACTCACAGATGGAAGACTGGCGCCTGTCATGTCACCCTCTTTATATTCATCCAGATTAACATACTTAACAACATTTGTGGTTTGAGGTAAATTATTGACTTTCCTTTTGAGGTGGGCCGGCATCCCAGTGTGAGCTCAGAACAAACTGTGACTCTTTTTCCACTCCTCCTCCTCCTACCTTTCTCGTGGTACTGAGTCACCTCGCCTTGGGGCTTACCACAGGAGGCTCTTCAAATGATCTTTTAGACTGAAGTGGAGAATCAAGATTAATGCACTTTCACGTCCCACCCAGGCTCCAGGGGAAACAGTCTTATAATTAACACCAGGGGGGCTGCAGGCTGCTTTCGGAGAGAGGTCGAGGTTGGGGTACCTCGACCAAAGAAAAAGGGCTGATAAAGGTGTGAGATTTTTAGAGTGTGATGTGTGCAGCTGCTTTGGAATAAGTGGGGGAATAATAGTGGAGTGGTAACAGAATGACCCGTTACACACCTCACTCTGCATTATTATTATTATTGGGACAAGATGGATGGGCCTGCAGCATAACTGCATACTTCATAATGATGCTTTTTGAAACCTTGTGAATTATCACTAAGGTAGACGGCTTACAAGATTCAAAGGTTTTATTGTCGTATGCACAAAGCTACAGTGTACAAATGGCAATGAAATTATTCTGACCTGAGCTCCTCCAACAATGCAACATATATAATAAAATACAAAATAAAAAGTAGTGCAAAAAGTCTATATACATGTCAGTAGAATACAAACGATTACATGTTTAAATGGCCCTCCTTTTTGATGAGAGTTAGATGAAATTGATGAAGAAATTGATATCACTCTCTTCCCAGTACGATGTCAGGAGATTAGCTTAGCTTAGCACAAAAACTGGAAAGAGCGGCAATATTATTATATCTTAATGTCTTTGTGCTCAAATTCTAGCGATCTCGAGCCGGTTTCTCCAAAAGTACCTACCCCACCTTTAACTGAAAATAAGCATTATTAAAATACCAATTCCTCCCGATGCTCTATCAGAGTAACAATACCACTAGCAAAATGTTATAAATCAGATGGCCTAATGTCGCATTTAGAGAGCAGCAGTGATGGTGTTTTTAGCAATAGTTAAGCTTTAAATTCAGGCTGATGTTTTTGTACCAGGCTTCACAACTCGTTATAAAGAGAGAAAGCTGGGGAAAGGTTGACAGAAGACACAGTGTATTTGAAGGCCATGAAGTACAATGCATCGTTAAGCCTTATAATAATAGCCTCTTATATCTCTTCCCACACTGATGGTACTAACCGCTATTTACAGTAGATATCTTCCACACCCCACCATTTTTGTCCCGCCACTCCCACGGGATCCTATTTCCATTTAAGCTCTCTACTGTATATTGAAGTCTGTAAGGCCTTTGTTGAAAGGCAAATACATCCATGGAAGCAAATCTGAAATAGTATAATTGTCCATTATATACAGAGAAATTGTCATGGTGTGTTTGATCATCTGGTAATGACCAAAGTTTAGCAGCTTCCTCATTATCCTGAATACTTCCCAAGGTTATTCCCAAACATTTACTTTCATAATCCCATGCCTGCTGTTTGTCTTTTATAGTCACTCGGATTGTTGTTGTTTTTCTGTCGAAGTCTAAAAGCAGCAGGCCTGCTGTTTTGAGGTGTGATGTTCCACAAGAATATAAATATATAAAAATAACCGACAGGGCGCAGGAAGTATGGCACTACTTTCAATGTAGATGAGGAAAGAAATGGTTGGATTAACAATGGTTCATTAGATTGAATCCTGGGTGCCGGTGTATCTTTCACATGAACAATCTCCTATAGCCCGAGTAAATTAGTGTGCAATCTCGTGTACCTGCTTTAAATGAATCTGTCCATCAGCTTGCGTCTCAGGTGTTGGAGTGCACCGACGGTTCTGCCCTGCCAAGCCTGCTTTGGATTCTCCGCCAGAGAGAAGCTGTTTGTTAAACACTTAAGTAGGAGTTTACTTTTTGATTGCCTGTGTTAACAATCCCAGAAAAAAAAGAGAAATCGTTTCAGGTTGCTTGTCCCTGTGGTTCTGTGAGATTCTAAATTACTCCGCAGCAGATGTTCATCCAGTGTCTCGGTAAAGGTCTCTCATTTCACCTCTGGCCTCCGGACTCAACAGATAGCAGGACTGCTCTTTGAAATACAGATGCTGAGATCTCTCTGGGGGCTGAAGGGGTATTTGAATCTGATGAGAAAATGCATGTGTGAAAATTGTGTTGTGTTCATTTGGGTGATGGATAAGTTGGATTACCCTCTGACAGGGAGCAAATGCAAGCAAGACTCCACTTTCAAATCCTGCGCTGCTCTGCAAAACAGATATTATTCTGCTCGTTTTGCAATTTGCAAACACTCCTATCATTTAGAATGACATACTTTATTACTGTTTCAGTTCTTGCTTTGACATTTTGGAGCTGTTAGTAATGCCCTTAGGGTTTCAGTTAGGATATATCCACATCGCATCAGCCTAAAATGTAATAAAGGGGAGATAATGAGTGTCAATTAGGAGGTAGGAGAAGCTCACTAACAGAACTATTTTTGTATTTCCTGTGAGAACATATTAGCATAGACACAGTAAGTGCTCAGGAGGCATGTGAACAGAGTCAAATCTATTGAAGTTTACAGTATATCTTAATCAAAGTGGATTTATGACAAGCACAGCTGAGGTCTTAATGCGACACAGAGCACAAGCAGGTAATTTATGTTCAACTTTTTTCTAGGAAACACAAATTAAAAGATCCATCCTGATGAAGTGTGTTATTTCCATTTAGAAGTCCAGTTGCATGCAGATATAGCTGACTGGCTTGAATAATGTATCTAAAAGCCGAACCTCCAAGCATATAGCAAACTATATTACTTTTAAAAGCTTCAAGTAGAAGAGCTTCATGTGTGACATAATTAAATTCCACCCAAGTTAATTCAAACTGTTTAATGATGCAGGGAGAACAATTTATCAGGCAGTGCCAGCGGTGGGGTGGTCCGCAGGGGCTACGAGTGAGGAGAAGCATTAGAAGTTCAGAGATACATTTGTGAAACAGAGAAGAGGATGTGTAGGTGGAGAGAGACTTGAAGGTTGAAACATCCTTGGAAAAGCAGCTTCTAGTTGGTGTGATTGTTTTTTTAATAATGCTAAAATTGCTTTGTTTGCTGTTTTCTTCACTTTTATTGAATTATTTATAACGATAATAGTGGAAAACTATTATAATCTGCACATGAGACCAAGATTTACCAGTGGGATTACCTCTGTTTTAGTAATTGGGTTAGCTGTTGGTTACTCTGACAGGCCTGCAGTGTTTCATTATTTTTCAAAGTTAATAACCTCTCCCACGGTGAGCAGCCTGACATTATACGTATTGTGTTTTTGTGTCTTTTTCCAGGAGTCGGGGCCAGACGGCGGGCAGGAGATGAGTCTGGCGGGTAATCCCACTCCACCTATCCATCAACCTGGAGACTATTTCCAGCGTCCCCCTACAGAATGTCAAAGCCTCGCTGAGCAGAAGCTGAGTCCATCATCTTCTTTCTATGACTTTCCCTCGAGTTTCCATCAAAACACATAAACACATCATGTGCCATTATTTTCTATTGCCCTCTCTCTCTTTTCTGTCAATGGAGGGCCGCGGCAGTGAGTGAACGCAGTTGTTCTATGCAGTATGCAAAAGAGAAGCTCTGTTTGAAAACTACAGGATGTGACAGGATCCTTTCTCCGTGGCTGACATCACTCCGTATGGGTTGTGATGGGGCATGTGCCAGAGATCTCCTGTCTAATAGGAAGTGAGACACTTAAAGAGATGACCCTGCCTCAGTTGCCATCACTGTCTCTCTGCCAGAGAGGGAGCTTGGCTCTTCCATTACTCCTGCACTTGCTAATTAGCGTCTGTCGCTGGAGTAACTTGTACCTGTCAGTGTGCGCCGCTCTCCTATATTCAGTAACTTGAGGGAATTGAAATTGAATGCCAGCTAAGCTCCAACAAACTGCAAATGGTGCATGGGATACACCCTGATTTCCTCACTGACCTGACAGCCTTATATGTAAGAAATAGTTTTTAATGAACACGTTTTTACTGCTGCTGTGGAATGTTTCATCTTTTCCTCACTAGTAGCTGTACTTTTATTCCATGTTTTAAGGTACTTGAGCATGTCCCTGTGCCATATGTTCATGTATGAATGCCAAAGCCATTTGTGTAAGATAACCCAGTGCCTATTTACATAAAAGAGACATGGTGAAACTGCCTGGTCATTGGTAATTATTGGTCCCATTCCCGCGGCCACTTTGTGCTCGTTCGGGCAGAACAAGGTTGAGTTTATTACAGACATTTCTTCACCCACAGGATTAGCCATGCTGCTCGAATTCATCCTTCCACTTTTCCATTAGTTGATTTATCTGCCGACTAGACTATTCTACATAATGAGTAAAACAAGAATTATTGTCAAAGCAATACAAATATTTCATTTACATGCAGATCAACAATGACATGTTGAATTGTTCCCGGTTAGACGCAGTCCTATTTTAGGGCTAATCCTCTGTGTTTGCAGATGCTCAGTCATCCCAAACATTTTACTTGTTTTGAATAATGGATTTTCTCTGTGATTGTTTGTTGCTGTCATATGCGAAATAGCTACCTTGCATCAAGTCTGACATGTATTAGAAACACCTTCCCGACACACACACATGCACAGGAGCACGCGCACATACTAAGTCCTCTTCCTAAGCTGGATGAGACTGTTGATCAAACCCCAGGCTGTGCCCAAACGCACAGATCTCTCTGTACAGTAGCCCTTGACCTTGCTGTGTGTCCTCATGGCCCAGACACCCGCCTGAAATTAAATTACAGATTAGTGGCTCCAGGCCCAAAGAGGGGTTTATTTGCTCGGCCCCTTTCTGAGAAGTGCCTATTCTCTCATTCAGGAAGTGGGGGAAAAAAATGTCATGGGATTTAAGGAGGAAAATGCCAGTCTTGAAGACATTTTCAACGGACTCATTGGTCCCCTAAAACTGAATGTCGGCAAAGACTTCTAAATCTTACATTGTAGTTAAGAAGGGACACGCTGCTGGTGGAAATCTGGGATTGCACAGATGTGAGAAAGTGGTTCAAAGGAAATCAAATTCCGATTGAAGGAAATTTGATGAAATCTAAGCTCATTGCTGAATCGCTACCTTAGGAATTCAAAATATTCTGGTGAGACAAAGGATGTAAATGCCGAGCCCTTATTACTTTGGAAGTCCGTCAAACCTTTTTTTTTATTATTTGATTTGATTAGATTTATTTCGAATGTGTAAAACAATGATACAAACATTTCACATGAGAATTATTATACAATACAAAATAATCAGGGTCAAATTGATATACAAAAATATTACTGATTCTAAATTATGTATAAACAAATAATCAACTTAATTACACGTCCTTTAACAATCCTTTATTCCAAACTACATTACCTTCAGAAACATTATTATAAGTCACCATCCATGGCACTCAAAAGGAAAAAAGAACATGAATATTTTGTCACTGTTGAAAAAAGCTGGAGTGGAGACAGCCATGTTAACAAATGTAATAAATACACATTAGAACTTGGTGAAAATGATACCCTAAGATACCCACTTGATTTGGCTAACACATATATAAATACATAATATACATATTAGCTTTGTATGAGCTTTGGGTGGCCTCTTGATGCCCATGCTTACTGTGTAAATGTGCCAGGGTTGGCTCACTTTATTGCAGATTACAGTGAGTTATACCTATATTTTGTGACTATTGTTTTTAAGAAGAACTTGAATGTTTTAGATTATAAATACTTCCTACTCTGCAGCTCTTTGTAGTCGAATGCTATTCAGCATGTTGCAACATAAGGGGCAGTGAGTGCAGACTGTGAATTGAATTGGCAAAGTAACTCTGCACTTACTGTACAAATGCAGCCTAAACTTGTTCAAATACACAGCCTGCCAGCTACAGTTCTTTACTTAACTTACTTCACAAGCGTAATTGATCACACTTAATGTCACCTCACAGACCCGAGCAGTAAGAGGATAAATGTTTGAGATGCTAATGTTGCATTTTTATTTTTAAAACACTTGGCAGGGTTAAGGGTTGCACCAACTGCCAACTACATCACACACATGAGAGAACATTTCACAGACTTCTCAAATTCAAACACTTGAAGCAGTTAAAGGCTTGGTGTGGTGATTGCATGTGTAGGCCTACTAACATTTCTAATTCGCATGAGTGCTTACAAAGTAGAAACACAGACAGAAACAAATAAAGATGTATTTGAAGCAGCGCAAATTCAGGTAAAGATGTGTGTGCTCTCAATGGGAAAAGAAAAAGCAGGGCTGTCTCAAATCAAGTGCTAATGTAGGCTACTTACATTTGCAGTTTTAAGATGTGTTGTGGTTGCTCCGTTGAACAAAGCCCTATAAAACTATTATTCAATTAACAGACTGTTGTTGAAAATAAGACACTGTTAATTTCTTGCTAGCTAGATAGCTAACAGAGACAATCAGCACTTATTGTGAGGGCACTGCAGCGATTTGAGGCAACGCTATCTGATCTTAATGAACACACAGCGCAGGTGCGGATATACCAAAGTTGTAAGACTCAACTACACAGAGGGAAACCAATTTTCCTGGTCAATTTGATCAGTTTAATATGCCACACACTCATGCCCCGAATGGTGCGTGCTATTTGGAATACATTGGATGGCTATTTATGGCTGAAAAACAGATTGAACAAACACTCTCCAGCAGTCAATTCCACTCATATAATCTGATTAAAAAATGTGTAATCAATACCGGCAGGATTAAACAGTATCTTGGAGCGAGAGAACACCAGTACTCATATTTTCCAGTGAGGTCTCCTCCCTCTGCGGAGCTCACACACCCTGGCTCATGCTGTGGTCCAATCACGCTGTAGATTTATATTAGCACTTCTGCTACTCTGCATTTCACTTGATTTGAACATGAGGTCCCAGTAAAGAAGTGACTGAAATAGGGCCAGCTGTGCTCCTTAAATTTAAGTACACAGTAAATGCTTAGTGTGCTCTTTAGTAAATATCTACTACTGCATGAATCGTTTCTTTGCCTACTATTGGAAGAAACCGCAGTGAAGTAAAGAGGATCTGGCAGCTAGTGGCCCATGTTCGGTTTGGGATGGGACACCTGAGTTCAGCTGCTCTCCGTCCAAAAAAATCCAGAGCTCTGTCGCTTTTTAGCAGTTTAATCAGGGACTGATTCACACCAGGGGACAGCAAGTGAATGCAATTAAGCAGACGGTAGTAAAGAAAACCAGGACCAGGATTGAAGACCACTGTGTAATTGGTTTATTCATGGAATCCTGGGATACTCTATCACAAGTTATCAAGGTGCATGTAAATAGCTTGGGCTGTGGCCAGTAGTCGGTTAACTCTGGATGTAAGCACAGTGTGTAAACACTTACTGGGAATTCTGCTCACCGTGAGCATCCTTGCATCATTTTTACGATCTGCTGGGTTTGTTCACCGCTTAAGGAGAAAACACTGCCAGCATTTTACACTGTGTTTTATTTCTCCTGAGGAGGTTCGATAATGTATTTAGTATGCAGAGGCGGGAGTGAAACATAAAACTGGCAAAGCAACTGCGATAGTGTTTCAGTTGTTTTAAGAAGCTGATACTGTGACCAATTGTAATGCTCAGAGAATTCATGTTACATATAACATGAATTAGCATGGATTAATTCCAATTTAACTTTATTAAAATCTTAATTACATTTCTAAACATTGTTAACCAACTGTTGAAGTAATTTCTAGAATAACCATGGGATTATTATGTGGTTTACTATGAGTTATTATAGAATTGCCCTATCTAAAAAAAGAAATGATTACTTTCAAAAGTAAGATTATGAAAAATGATATAAATTATTATAAAAGACAATTGTATTCATTTTCTAGATTTGCTTATTTCCTTAATTGCCAAAATTGAGATGTTTGTCCATAACATTGTTGCTACAACCAGAAGGATAGGTTAGCTTAGTTTAGTTTAGCTTTAATTAGCATGGAGGCTGGAAGCAGATTAAAACAGCTGGCCTGGGTCTGGTAAATGGTTTAAGCCTAACCTAAACTCACTAATTATTTGAAGATGATACAAGATATACGTTTTTTTTTAAGACATTGACAGTAATGCTGGCTGTTTTCCAACCGGCCTGCATCTGGCTTTTATGCTAAGCTAGGCTAACTGCCTTCTTTCAGTAGCTGTGGCGGCTCAATTTCCAGTTCAGTTTGAGTCGCCGAGAGGCTAAGCTTGGCTATAAACTGTGACGCGTTTTCGAAGAGAAAGTCCATACTGAAGCAAGATAGTTTTAGGATATTTAATAAACAAAATCAAAACACAGTAACTATGGACAAAACGGTCAATAGAAAAAGAAAAAAAAATGACAGCACAAGCTCACCCTCTGTCATCCGCACTCGACATCAAACAGGTGACTTATATAACCAAACCACACCCATGTGACAATTACCGGAAGTGCTCGACAAACAAATAAATGTGACGTAAACAAATAATAATAATACAAATAATGAACTTGGGCTAAGTAGCGTTATGGCACCTACAATACCGGCCCCTAATTATAATTTCACAAAATTATAATTACTATAATAAATGACAATACACACACAATATACGTCCAGATCTCTTTCGTGAATTATTATTGTTCAGAGTTCATATATTGCAGTCTTTTTGGAAAAGTGATCATCTTTACTCACTAATCAGTATCAGTAAAATGCTTAGTGTGGTGTGTGTGTGTGCAGGGGGTAGGAGACACAATAGGCAAAAATAGTCCATTTAGACTTGGCAAAAGTCCTCTGACTCCTGAAGAAGGCTAACTTTGTTAATTGCTCTGCTCAGGAAACCAGTCTTGGTCTTGATCCGAAGCATACGTACAAGTCCCTTTTTGTCAACGATGGTCTCAGCAACTTTTCCAGTAAGCCAGGAGTTCCGAGGCGCTGAGTCATCCATGATGATCACGATGTCTCCTGGCGTGAAGTTGCGTCTGATTTTAGACCATTTCTGTCGTTCTTGAAGTAGGGGAAGATATTCTTTAATCCACCTTTTCCAGAATAAGTCTGACATATACTGAACTTGTCTCCACCTGCGGCGAGCGTAAATGTCTTCCTTTTGAAACTGTCCTGGTGGCAGGGATGGTGTTGTCTTAAGGAGCAAAAGATGATTCGGTGTCAGTGCTTCTAGGTCGTTTAG